GCTCACAAGATTTGTCTTTTTCCTCTCTTTTGGGGATGAAAGGAAATTATTTTGCCGAGCCGCAGCTTTAGCATTTTGTTCAAGTTTCCATCAGCTTGTGCTTTGTCGAGCTGGATTCAGGTTTTATGGTGTTGCTATTATTTTTTTGTGCCAGTTTATCCAAACCGCTCAACTGGCACTGATAAAGGAAGACATACCTGGCACACCTAATGTGTGGGTTCTGGCCTGCCCTGCTTTCCACAGATGGAATGAGTGCTAGAGGCAGGGAAAATAGAGAGACAGACAGATAAACAGAGCAGCAGAGAGAGAGAGAGAGAGAGAGAGATGGGGAAAGCCTACTCTCTGACTCAGAGGGGAGGGGAGGGAATTCCCTGGTGAGCTGGATGGATTTTAAATCTGTTGGATTGGAGTGTTGCCTGCAGCTCCGGAGTGCCACACGGCCTGGTCTGCAGCAGAGAAAAGACTGACCCTCAGCATGTCTTCTGATAGTTTATTTTGTAGAATTTGGAAATCATAGTTCCTGCTGGAAAAAATTGTTAGAGTTCATATAAAGGCTGTTTACACCTGAATTAAGCAGCTAGCACAGGCAAGTCTAAACACCAGATGAACTGGTTGAGGTATTGTACATCTGGTATGTCTAGACTCTGCTTTGGCATCATCATCTGACTGGGCTGACCAGAGCATGATTTATGATGCTAATTTTGGACTAATACTTGGTAAACACTGCCTTTTGTTATATCTAAACACTGGGTCTTGCATGAATGTTGTCCTGGGTAACCACCCTGCTTCATAATAGTGGCTAAACGAAACGAGACAAGATTTTAACCAAGTTTTAGAACTAGTGTAAAAGGATACACATATAAGATGCATACAAAAACATATTTTAATATGTTTTTCATGGAGAAAAAAAAATGGAATTAACATGAACATTGTTGCATTTAAATGATAAAAACCACCCTAAATGCAATTGATCTTTAAGATTGCCTAGGCTACATTAGTAGTTATGATATTTCTTCAGCTGTTTTATGGGAGATGCAATTTTTAATAAGGTATCTTTTAAGAAAAAAACAATTAGTTATAAAGGTTACGTCTAGTCTGTAAAAATGTTGTGGAGCACTAACCAGCTTTCAAGCTGAACAAGTTCGAAGCTGATACTATGAATACTATAAAACATTCAGCATTTCCTTTGTATGTGCAGTTCCGACCAGATAAACTGATATAAGCCTAGTCTTTTTTTGTAGTCAGGTCACATCACCACACCTTTCTTATTAATAATAACTGAACTTTATTGATCTCACATTGGAGAAATTTGTCTCTGCATTTAACCCATGTCCTTGGGGAGCAGTGGGCTGCCATTGTGCGGCGCCCTGGGAGCAGTCAGTAACCCATATTGAGGCTTTGGGGATCAAACCAGGTACTTGCAACATTCTCATAGCACAAGTGCACTGCTCTAACCCTCTAGGCCAACACTCCCATCCCAAAAAAACAAAAAATAATACACTTACCCAAACTGAGTTCCTGACTATAAATCCATCATATAATTACTGTCAGGTCCCTGTTGCTACTGATACCTCAGGATGTGAAGCATACTTTTATTTTCCTGGTTTCACAGTTTTTTTACAATGCCTCTGGTGTTCAGGAGGAGATTCCAGCTATATCTCTGGAATCAGTCACTGGAGAATCCGTCTAGTCTCCTGGCTTCACTTTTCCACGGGCAGCAAGGTGACTGCCGTGAGAGTGTGTGCAAAATTACTGAAGCATTTTAATTCAAGGCAGCAGCAGGGGCAGTAGAAAGGTAATAAAATGGAAAATAAACTCAAGATATGTAAACAGGAAAGTGGGGGGATGCTTCTTAAAATCCAAGCTGGAAGAAAAAGATAGCTGCAAAATACATCATAAGAAAAACTCCCCAATTAGGTATGTGAATCATATTTTCCATCCTCAAAATAACCTGAACTGAACTCTCTTCAGTCACAGAAGGCTGCCATGTACAAAACGCTGCTTTTTAAAAAGCAATTTCACCTCTGGCTGTCGAAAACCGTAAGTTCACTGTAAGGGTAAATATATCCCCAGTCAGTTGTCGGGCCTTCTGAAGCAATGAGTCAGAACATATGTCTGAAATATTTATCTGGAATATAATCGTATCTTTTTCATTTCAACCAGATGGAGCTCATTGACCTCCCCTTGATCATTATCAAGACTTTAATCAAAGAAAAAAGGACAAACAAGATTTGTTTGAGTGAGCTTAACTATAACAGTGTTGCCAGATTGTGACCAACTACACAACCTGGATGAGGTGTTATTAGGAGATAAAGCCAAAGAGCCAAAGTTGACACAGCCTTTGCAAAGTCTAATTGCTCTAAGAATCATTGTATTGTCAGAGTTGTCTGGTGTTAGTCTTTGTGGATCTCATTTGATCAAGTGAGTCACCTATCCTCAAGTGAGTCACCTATCCCTGAGCATTATACCTTGAATAAGAGAGCACACATCCACCTATTTGTCTTTTAAAATCAACCCTTAGTTTTCCAACAAAACTCCCATCAAGGATACTGTTCTGTGCTCAGCAACTATTGTTCCGTGCTTCGCCACCTCCAATAATCTAAGTTGAAAGCCAGAACAAAGGTAAAGGATATTGTGGTTGTATGTTTGCATGTGTCTGCATCTGTTTGTGCACATTGAACGTGGGTGGAGGTTGGTTGCATGAGGAGGTGTTGTCGGGAACAGAAGCATTTTGCAGATGTTGCAGGGAAGAAGGAGAAAACGGAAAGTCCTGTGGTTATCAGTCGTACGCCGATCTCTGACGGTAAGCCACAAGTAGCCTCCATCTCCATCCGACCACAGCATTGTTGAATTTCTTGGTTTGATTGAGAAAACATTAAACTTTGCTTGAGCAAAGTGATTTAGAGACGCAGATGGAGAGGGCAAATATGAAGAGGGAGGTGGAAAGATTAGGTCTTTGAAAAACATGTTTACTGCTGGAGCTTCACTTTGACGTTGTAGTCTAAGGTTTCCCTCTTGGAGAGTCTCCCAGAGCGTAGGTGGGCGAGATTCCCTCTTGGTTCCTCTAGACGTAACATGAGGAATGCTCATCTCTGTCTGCCTCTCTCTGTTGTTATGACCTTCCCTGTGTCTGTGCTCGCTCTAATTGGCCTGCTCCAATCATTTCAGCTTCACAGCAGTACGTGTGCCTCTTTTCACCTGCTACATGCAAGATGTCTGTTAACTCCACAGTCATCTTACCAGGATGATTCTGCTTGTGCATCTTCCTCACAGAGAGGCATACTTTTCCATATGGAGATCTAGTTTCATCAAGTTTCGCAACAGGAAGCCCTTATCTAATCTGTGCACTGTCTGTTTTTGTCGTCTACTGTGTTTAATATGGCCGTTTTGGAAAGCTCTATCAACTGACTATTTTTTTTCTCTCTCAGAACAATAAAGTTGACCACCCGCCCCCACTACCACATCTCAGCAATAAAGATCTAAGTTTGACTGCAGTCCTTTAGCTTCACACTCATGCAATTATTTGAAAAACATAAGCCTCTTGAAAGAGAGAAAACCTCTTGGATCTTGCCGGCTAAGTTAGTCCTTTGATATAAGTAGTTTGGAAATTGCCATTAAACAATTTTTTTTTTTTGTTTCTTATGAAAGGTTTAGCATTTCCTCTTGATCTATAGCTCTCTCTATTCTGCTACTAACATATAGCAGGAGAGCTGCAGAAACCATGGTGTTACCTCATATAGTGTTGCTTACACAAAGGCTGCACTGTCTTCCTGCCACTTCTGACAGATGTAATGACTCATTGGTTCTGAAAAAAAGAAAAAAAAATTGCAACATGGCCATTCCTGATTGCCCCAGCAGAACCCGAGTCTGCTCACGAAAGGTGTGGCATGAAATCCCAGGGAAAACGCAAAGAATGTGAGCTGAACCTTTACAGGCTTGCAGCAGCTGCAGTAGCTCACAGGGATCTTTGAGTACATGGCAGCAAGGGAAACCTTTTTACATCAAGTGAATATAAAAAAAAGGGAGAGTGGGAAAGGCTGCCAGTTTTGCAGAAAAGAAATAAAACAAATGAACCAGGGTTCTTTACTGGCATCAAACACCTAATAGGAAAGCATAAACTGGGAACAAAAGCTTCCTATGGACTTACTGTACAGAAGCAAGTTACTCTTGGTTATCTTTTTCTTAATAAAGACAACCACTGATTTCCCCCCACCCTTAACAGAATTGGCAGTTTAACATGGTAGAGGAGTTTCAGTATCCCCTATGATCCTATGCCTGCTTTGTCTGTGGCTTCCACCTTAGATAGGATCTGCCATGGAAAATTGGCCTGAAGAGAAGGGTCAGCCAGAAGTAATTAGAAGACGTAAGTGATTTGTAGACAACTGAAAGTTGGAAACCTAGGGAGGATTATGTAGACTGATGCATCTTACTTCTTTCTGTTTGCTTTCAGTCATCTATGCAAACATAACTCATTTAGACTCCCAAAATGTTACATACTCTTTCTTAAAAAGTCCTGTATTTGCTTTTGTTTTGTTAGTCTTTAATTAACAACATTAGCTGTTTTTTTTGTCATCATCGTTCGTTATTAAGAGCCAATGTGAAGGTTCTGAAGAGCTACTTGGGGTTCCTAGAGCTGGATGCAGACCTCTGATCTAGGACAAATCAATGAGCATTCCCATAGACATCGAGTGTGACGTCTGACTTCTCCTTCATTTCATTTACATCCACAACATAATCTAAGATAAGATTGATGGATAGATGTACAGACAGATAAATCCTTAAGTTACTGAGATTATTGAATCACTTAAATTACTGAGATTATTGAATTTATTGAATTGCAACTTGTAGATTTTGAAATTTACCCAAGTATTCCGGGGCCTACGGTTAAAGACACTACCATTGTTTTCCTGACTTTCTCCTGCAAGTCTCAGCCACGTATTGCCTTCTTTTATCATATGGCATAGATGTTATCATAATCTCTTTGGTGTCTGTGTCAACAGATGGGCACCATTTGTGGGAGACAGAAGCCAAGGTTGACAAGGACACTGTCAAATCTGTAAGTACCTATTATTTATATAAAATGCCTCTGTCGCTTCAGTCCTCTCTTCCCCCTGAGACTTTCTCCTTTCTTTGGTCTCCTCCTCATTTGTCCCACTTAATGATGTAACCTTTGCTAAGGCATTACAAAGTAAAAAACACAGACCACACTGATTAGTCGATGCAATCCTGAATGGAATTTTCACAAAATCACTGTACCATCCTTGAGGTAAACACGTTCTCTTGTGGTGTTGCATAAAAACATGACACGGGCAGAAACATGCTCTAATACAAGCACAAACGGCAATGCTGCCCTGAGTGCATAGCTAGACGTTTAGTTCATAGTGAAGTGTTGCGGTGAGCTGGGTTTAAACACCTCATCTGTGCCTGTGAGCGTGCAGCCAGAAGCAAATCACACCCCTGTTTCTACCTGGTGCTTGTCGTGAAGGTTGTAATGAGAAAATAAACCAGTGCACTCATTTTCACTGACGTACAGTCACACACTCAGATTGTGTTAATATAAAACTGACCAAAAGGGAATTGTCGACAGAGGGGATGAAGTAAATGTTGTTCTTCGTGTCACTGAGAGCTTCTTTAGCTCTGGAGTTCATTAAGATTTCATCGGTTAGTTAGGTCTGCTTTCAGAGCGGAGAGCCAAGGAGGGTTGTGGAAAACTAGTTTCCTTGGGCATTATGATAGCATGCTTTTAATTGCTGATGTCTTTCATCTGTGGTCTGTCTCTATAAACCGACTGAGGGACCTTATGCTTTCAAACGGCTAAAACAAATGCACTTTTAACCAGACGCTGGTGCTTCAGGATTTAGTGTCACTTGTTGCTGTGATTTCACTCACTTTCATGTAAACTATGTGCTAGCATCTACTGGTTAAATATGGACTTCTGTAGTTAATTCTGATTTAACTCTAATTGATATTTTCTGGTCATAGTCAGAGTTGCTGGAAAAAAGGTGGCCAGTTAAGGACAGGCTGAAAATGGTTTACAAATGGTTTTACATACAAATTTGAGAAAAGCATTACCATCGTGTTTTTAATTGAAGAACCGCATATAAACATATGACTTCCTTTTGACATTTTTCATATTGTGTCACCTTACATCACCTTAAAAGTATGTTTTTCACATTGGGATATCACGAGACAGGAAAACACAGGGTGCAGGGTAGTTTTGATTGAAATTTTACATAATTTCTAAATACCAAATAAAAATTGAAAAGAAAAAAATTGGGAAACAGTTAGAGGATAGTAAATCCTTTCGCAAGTCCATATGAAATTTAAAAACAGAGAGAGACTGGAAGAGAGTGCTAACTTTCTTCGTATGTGTGTTGAAACCAGACCACTCTAAAGTCCACCAGTCTGCCTGGCTAACTGTTTGCTGTTTGCTCTGAGGAACATGCTAACTTTGGTTATTTTGGATGGAGAGGGAAAGTAGTGTACCTGAATGCATTTAACACACCAATTCACCCACCCGCATGTCCTCCCTCTCATCATATGGAAAGTGGACTTGATCTGATCTTGCCTTTAACTCTTTGTGTTCTAACTTGCTCCAAACATAGTGATGACCTTACAATTTCCCTGCTACAACCTGTGAAAGCCCATATGAGAGTGACAGTAATCTCAGGAATTAGGCACAAGCACCCAGAAGGATTTCACAGTGTTTCCTTGTCAGAATTAAGGAGTCAAAAGTTCATATCTGCACAGACATGCTGTGGTCTAGCAGACTAGGTAACCGGAGGGTTTAAAGGTGACCCCTCCAGAACAAAAAGCGGCTGAGCAAACAAATACGCCAACCTGATTCTTCAGCTGTGCTTTGAAGGGAAAAGCTAAAGCCCAAGGGTTTTCCAGAGAGACAAACAAAGGGGCCTGGACTATCCTCATGGGCCCAACTACTACCCATGCACAGCCCAGACATGCTCATTTAGACCAGTTCCCTGTCCAGTCCCTTGGAAACGCTACCATAAATGCAGTCCAGTGGTAAAAAATAAATGAATAACATACCTGTTAATTAATCTCTGAAACTCTCACAGTTTTAATATTTTACTTTAAACTCATGCGTCATTACCTCCTTAAAAGAGAGTAAACAGGTATTTTTTTTTAAAAGTATTGTTTATAATGACTTATGTTTAAATACTTGTTGGTTGGTTCCTTTTAATGTAGTCTAGTTCTGAGTAGTGGGTTTAGTGTTATCAAAGGTATGGACTCAGTGTTAATTAGTGTTAGGATATCATTTATTACCTTTACTCTGACATCCTCTGTTTTTAGCAGTGGAATGTACCTTCATTGTCTATTGAAAAATGCCCAAACTGGCCATTTGTTTTGTGCAATTATTCTGTAAGTCATGTCATTGGTTTTTTCTTTAAATTTCAAGCACTCAATATGTTGAGGTGCGGGTGCATTAGGATGGCATAGCTTGAAATGAAGGAATCTTTTTCATGGATTATTACATTTCAGCAGCGAGTACGGATTATGTTGCAGTGGTTCATGTTTAATATAGGTGGAGGAAAAGCTGTGTGTGAAGAAGACTCGCTTACTTTGTGATCAAGTTATGTGTGCAAAAATATCTGCATTGTAGGAAAAGAAATGCAAGTGCATTATTTTCCAATCTCATCATGTCTTCCTATGCCCCATGAACTACAAGGTATATTTGAAATAGGGCTTCATTTAAAATACTTTTTTCTATCTTTTTGTTTTTATTTTAGAATACTATTGTTGTGGAGATCCCACCCTACAGGAATCAGAGAATATCCAGTCCAGTGCAAGTTAACTTCTACGTCTGCAATGGCAAAAGGAAGAGGAGCCAGTACCAGCGCTTCACCTATGTGCCTGCAAACGGTAAACAGCAGCCAGATCCTGTTTAAAAAAAATATTCACATCTTGACATTTAGAATCTGCAATCCGCCTTTAACTGTCAACATGACACAAAAATGTGTAGCTCATTCTTGCTGGGTGTTTTTAACTTCCTGCCTTGGAGCAGCAAGCTCGAGTCGCTGAATTAGAGCAGAAGATGAGAGGGGTGTTTTTTCAGTAGTAGAGTGGCGTTCTGCAGCCTTGAGGTGGGCCTGCTGAGTGACAGAGCTTCCAAGTGCTGTCAGTGTAGTTGACTCAACCTCCAAGGGACTTGACTTTTACACCCTGCTTCACACAATAAACCCATGGTTCCCCAAGAAAGGAATGATCTTACAGATGTATGCAAATATGGAAACACAATCTAACACCCATCCAGCCTGTCAGTCATATAACAAGCTGAAAGGTTAGTAATACTCCTCTGTGAGCTTATCCTGTGTCAAAGATATAAGTGGCTTTCATGATGGAATTTTAAGAATGATGTACATAATGTTTTGGCAAGAAACACACAAAATATCAGCTATGGTTCAAGGTTCTTACCAGAAAATGTATCCTCAAATGTGTTCAGACAAAGCTGATGAGGTGGTACTGACTGTGTTAGATTGTCATGATTACCAGTGGAATGCATTAGATCCAAACCCGGATATCTTATTTTCATTGATCAGTGCTTAATGGACCCAGTGGGTGAGATAGCCTGAAACCTGTTTTAGGTCCACAGCTGTTAATAAGATGGCATATTTACACTATCAGCAGATACTAGATGGTCCGAAGAGATAAACAAACAGAAATAGAGCCATTTAAACAAGTGGACCAAAAATAGTTATATAAAATAGTTTCTCTGTAGAAAACAATACATTTTTCAATCTTTTCTTTCAAAATCTGGATGGTGTGGTCTACATTATATTAAGTTCCCCCTTTAGTCAGTATGTTGCCTCTACCAGACTTGAAAATTAAGTCTTAGAAATCCTTTGTATTCTTCACATAAAAAAATGATCAATCATAGTCAGTTGGATAGAAAGTGTATTTGCACGATCGACATCAACTCTGAGCAGCTTCCTTGTCATTGCTGAAATAAAGCATCCAAACAGCAAGATGTTGTTTAACAGTTAAACAGCTGCTTTAGGGTGAAGCACAGGATTAATTTTGCACCAAATCAGTTCATATTGGAGTTTAGATGCATAGCCATATCTGGGTACTGTTCTGATCATGACACACTATTCTGGGTTTTTTTTGGAAGACATCCTCCACCTCTGAAGATAACTTGTCAATGGGGGTATAAAGCATGCAAAATTTTTTTGTTTAGATTTTTTATAAGTTTTGTAAATAATGTTTGCCCTCCCCTTTGTAATTAACTGTGCACCGCTGTGTGTCTTCATATTACAAAAATTATCTAAATTAAAATACACTAAGGCCAAATATGCTAAAGTACATTGGAGATACCAAGAGTAGAACCTTATAAGGCCTTGGCAGACACCAAAAGAAAAATATGAGGCTTCCGAACTAGGCATCTCGAAGTCATTTTCTTGAGCATAAACAGAACTCTTATTAAAAGCTGACTTGTGTTCTCTCTTTTGCTGCAAAGTAAACCCCGAACATGCTGTAGACCACACAAGCAGAACGAGTGCCTTCTTCATGAAGGATAATTAACTCACAGGAGTTACAGCCAAAGAACCAATTCATCTCAAATTATATTTAAGGAGTTGTTACGTGATACCATAAAAAGTGTCTTATCCAAAAAATAATTTTTTGTATCAACAAGTAGCACATAATAGCTGATTTGAAGTTGCCTTACTACTGAGAAGTGTCATGCACTGAACTGACTTTAATATCACTCAACTATAATCTGATTCCTCCTCAGAGAAACACCTAAACCATAGATATGCACTTTAAAGGAATGGTGTATAAAGGTTATAATCAACCTAAGAAGATCCTTTGTACTCTTGATGATTGTAAGAGTTTCAATACAGCTAAATGGAAAGAGGAAATCCGAGTGAAGCTGTTTGCTTTTGAGGGTTTCAGTATGTGCTTGTGTGTCAACAGTGAGTAAAACAAGCAGTGTTGTGGCAAGATACTTGGGGGTCGGCTGCAAGGGAAGACACCCACACATTCACACTCACACACAAATATTTGCCAACACTTTTTGCTCGCTTCTATGAAAAGAGTCTTCCGGCCTACGGTCCCACTTCAAGCACAGTTGTGGCCAGTGACGCTGTTTAGAGAGAACATTTCTTTCACACTCTGCTGTCTGTTCTGCTATAAAAAGGCTAACCCAAGCCTTAAAATAGAATCACTTGTTTAAAACAGCGGAAGGATGGAGCTGACACTCTCGGGACCACAGATGCTGAAAACCACCTGTATTTTCCATTCAGGTCATGTGACCACTTGTTTTTCTTTGACACTAATGAATATGCTATCAGAAGCCACTGCTTTTGTGCAACTTAACAGCAAAAAAAAGAAGTAAAAAGCAAAATTAACTGTTCATTGGGCTGCCACACGATGCTTAAATCAATTACATTGTATATGACATGTCAGCAGATTTCAACAGTTCTTAGCCTTACTCTGCATGCTGTTGATAGTAATTAGAACTAAAAAAAAAAAAAGCATATGAAATAAATGTATAATCCTGTAGTAGCCTTACTCAAACAGAAACACCTTGCCTTCAAATTATTTACCTGCATCTCAGTGGTGTATGGAGAATTAAATGATTATACACCATCATCCTCTTATTAAATACAGCATATGAAATTTGATGTTTAAAAAAAATCTGTAAGATAGGCACTGCAAATTGACTGTATTAGCTACAGTATGACTAAGCAATGCAGCACATGTCACCAGTAAATGTTGCATTAGTCACCTTAAAATAAGATCCTTTAATCTCATGCTTCATCATGCAGATGCTCAGTCAGCGCCGAAGAACATTTGCCTCAAATAATCAAATACTGACAGCTAATGCAGATAGCAGCTCAACTTATTTTTCATTTAATTAGTTGATTGTTATATAACCACTTAGGGCCCCACATAGACTTTGTAAAGAAGCAATGATCTTTCACCTTTAGGGCAAAAAAAAAATGTAGAAAAAAACTAAAAGGCATTGTTATAGAATTGGTAACCTATATAATTTTGACAAAGAACACTGGGGAGTATATCCCCTTAATCCAGTTAAATAAGCACATGATTTAGAAAATGGAATTATCGAGTGTTTCACAGATACTTAATGGATATATGACAGGACTTTTTCGCAAAGCCTTGAAAACAGTTTTGTTGTTTGTTCAATATAGTAATAAATACATTTTTATAACCGTACAAACTGCAGATATTTTATGTGCAAACAGTGAAAAACTCTTATCCCCGTTGACCAAATTTTTCATGTAGGGACTTTAATTATTGATTAATTAATAAAAAAAAAAAGGTTGGTTGATCTTTTCAAGTGACACATTGTTAATTTATAAGTGGCCATTTTCTTGTTTATAACAAAACAGGGAACTATTAGGCTTAATAAAAAAAAAAATATTAAATATCTGACACAATTATGATATCCAAGAAAAAGAGATTTAAAACTGTAATTAAACGACAATTTAAGTCACTATAAATACTGTAAGACTATTTTTCACTGTATTTCAATGAAGAGGAGAGTAGCTGCTTTTTTGGTGTATTCCGGCATTTAAGGCTAGCAGCAGTGCGTTTAAATGGGGGTAAGGGGTTCTTGTTGCCCTCAATGGAATTTTAAAACTTAGCTCTGTGAAGTGCATTAACTCACAACTGCTTTTCCATATTTCATGCTTATTGCAAGCATGTCTTTTTCTATGATGTTACAAATGTTTTGTGTAATGCCCTCCATGTTTCTGTTATCATATATTCACCTTCCAAATACAGCAAGGTAGTTTTGCTGCTTCACCATGCAGCATGGCTAATTTGGCAGTATTGAGATGAGAAATTAAGTATTTTATTGTGTGTTTATATTTCCAAACGCAACCTCATAAAGTGCATCCTGCATCCTTCTCACCGTTAAACAGTGTAAATAATCCCAGAGCAGAATTTTTCTGATTTAGCATTCCTACAATCTGGCATTACTTCTCCTGCCAATGCAAGTTAATCTCTGCTAAGAATGAACAGCTGTTGAACAGCACTAACATAGCAACACTGAAAGAAATTCCTTCAAAGTAGACACTATCAATTCATCAAATGGAGTTGATTTCAATAAAAAAAAAAAAGTTACCCGAAAATCCCTACTTAAAATAAACAATACCTTAAAAAAAAAACATTTTGCAAGTCTCCTATACCATGAGCACCATTTCTAGTCAAGTCTGGATGTTTGTTATTGATGCTGCGATGTTCATGAAACTGTCCTTGTCTGGCTCCTAGAGTGAACTTTCCTTTTCCAAGCTCCCTTCCAATCATTCTTGCATTAACAGAAATGTGACGTGTTGGTCTTGAAATGAGAAACAGTTTTCACTGACCACAAACAAAAAATTATGGCAAAAACAGAGGCTTGGACAGAAGGGGCTTCTCGGAACCTCTGTATTTTTACAGGCCATTTGGAGATAACTCTAAAGTTTAAGTTCTTTTCTTAACAAAAGCTGTTGCCGTATCCCCACCCTTTTTACTCTGTGGTTGGAACAGGGGAGAGGAGTCCCACAACCATGTTCCTCTACACTCACTCGAAAAGTTGCTGAACCACCACACAGTGTTTGATTAGTTTTTTTTTTTGTTTTTAATTAAATACAGTATGCTATCTAACATCATTGCCTTTAAAACATGATACCCTTAGAAATTCAATTCTTTGAGACATTACAGAAGGCAAGCTGAAATATAGGTTCTGAAAAATAACAGATGCATATCCAATGAGCTTAATAAAGGCATGGGGCTGGGAAAACTAGAGGAAATTGCAGAGCAGTATTTTCTTCAAGCCAAAACCAACTAGTCTGGAGGAAACTTACTGATCTCAAAATGAAGACCGCCCCATCCATACAGAGACAATAATGGGTTTGACCTCAAATTTTTTTTTTGTGCTTTAGCTGTACTTCCAAATTAATCCAGCATTTTAAGAGCACAAATCATTATCATTATTTTTGTTGTTTAAAACTAGTCTCAGATAATGCCGGTTGTGCCGTTTACCTTTATAACCTGCATGCAACTGTTAGCCATCATTATACTGTGATTTTCTCGTAGGACCTGCCTGCGTGCGTCCAGTGTTGTAGTCATCAGTTTTTGGTACATAGTACGCTTGTGTGGACAGAACTTTTTTCTAAGTCATTCATGAAAAGACACTGTCTTCGTCTTTAGGATTAGGCCTGAATTTTGGTGTTGAAATAATAAGACTGCATGTGTTGAAAAAGTGTGTTATTGTGTTGTAATGATGGAAAGAACGGAGTGTGGTATTACAGTAATTGACATAACACCACCTGTCAATTAGTCCAGTAGGTTTGTCAGCAATTGATCAAAGATCATACCTGGTTTTGAAATAAAACACCCTGTACTTTGCACTGAAAGCAGTTCTCTCTCCCTCTCAGAAATCATTGTCAGAAAATGTAAATTACAAGGGCACATAGAGAAAGAGAAGTTTTTAAAGAAGACATATAATAAATAGCTTAATGTTGTCGGTGGAGAATATGAAATTTACACAATACCTCAAGTGCTTAGATGATGGAAATAAGTTCCTTCCCCACAATTGAAAATATAGTCTTGAAAATGTAAAAGATGGACATGGTCTGCTGCCCATCTCATTAGCAGCTGAAAACAAACGTAATCAAAGGAAACTACTGGTTGTACACCATTACATTATTTCCTTTTGTGTAGCTTGAAAAAAAGCATATTTTATCAATTAACTCATTATGAAAACTTGGTAATAACCCTGCATGCAAGCCCATAGGCCTGCATCGGAAACAAATGTTAATTTTTAGCCTTATTATGTATTGTAGATATTTTTAAAAAACTGCCTTTGGTTCTTACCCTCTTGTTACACTTTATTTTATAACTTTAAACGGCTTCAGAAACTATACTCTTCTTTACATCCAACTATAATATATATACCTTATTTTTTTTCCTTTGTGTCTGTGGAAAGTGTTGGTTTTTAGCATTAATTTGTCAGTTACTAACTTATAAATAACCTTAAGGTTATTTGATAAGGCAACAAAATACCTAGTTTCACATTGTGCTTTATCCTGTCACCTTTAAAAAGACCTCAGGTTTGTCTCAGCTTTGTTTACACTATGTTGCACTTCTGCACGGGCTGAATGATGTTAGAGTTGGCATCACACCAATTGTTGGTCCTATAACTGGTTGCAGCAGCCCTCCAGGTTTTATTACAAATCTGATTGATGCTGCACCTAAATTGAAAAAAGAATTTTAGACGGAACTTTCTATATATAGTGAGTGTACAGAGAAATATATATATTTTGTATGGATGGACTTTATGCCTCTGGGGAATGTTATAAAATGTAGCTTTATTTACTTGTTAGAATCCTTAATATTCAATTCAGTTTAATTCAATTCAGTTTATTTATATTATATTTCATTATATTTATTTATATTATAATTCACAGCACATGTCATCTCAAGGCACTTTACAGTTCACCAGATCATACAGTCAAATTGATTCAGAGTTTTCTATCAAGGAAAACCAGTGAATTGCATCGACTCATTAACTCGAAGGCAATCCCTCGCACTAAGCATGCTTTTAGCGACAGTGGAGAGGAAAAGCTCCCATTTAACCGGAAGAAAACCTTCAGCAGAACCAGATTCAGTGTGAGCAGCCATCCACCGAGCCTGACATGACTGCAGGAAATTTGTTAAAAACACATGTAAGCTTTCAGGCTTGGAAGGAGTTTCTCTGTGGAACCTGGGTAGAAGAAGTTATTTATTGGTGGTGATATAGATACACACATTGTTCATGCAATGTCCTAGTAGATTTATTATCGAACTGGTTCTGGCACCACTGGGCATCATTTGGATTTGACACTATTCCAAGAGCAGCTATTTGGGGAGAGGTGTCAGGGTGTTGTGTATTAGTTGCAATAGAAGGAAAATAGTCTATAATAGACAAAGTTTTCTCATTCGTAAATTTGATTTTCTTTCATAAATTCTCCTTAACTGGAAAGGCTTGCACAGAAAAGTGGCTTTTGCTTGGATGAGTGTTCTGGAGTTTTAACATCAGGACTATATTATTAATTTGTAAAATTGGTTGTATTTTTCTCCTTAACTAACCAAATGGAAACATCTGTTTTCATGCAAATCTGAGCTACTTTTAAAACCAAACCTCAACTCCTAGTGAAGAGAGCTCTAAACTTTTACAGCATCAAATTGATCCAGTGTCTGATTTGAGAAAAGCTAATATTTTAGAATCCTTGCAAACTAAGAACTGGCAGAGAGGAGGAAGAGTTGGAAGTAATGTGACTTATTTGTTACTCCCCAGCCTTTGGAGAAGAGGCATCACGGGACATGCTTTTCGATTCTCCCCAACACACCAAGCCTGGTCCCTTGGCTTTAAAAACACAGGGAACTGACGTAAATGTGTTCCCTTCTGCGTTATCGCTTATCACCCCAGAGGCTAGATGCGTGATATAATGTCTGTTTAAATCCAGACAAAAAAAATTAGAATAACATAGTGAAAAACAAGCTGTGTGTCATGTGACAGACTGATGCTTTGTTTGAAATTATTCTTATGTCTTATATTTTATGTTGTTCAAAATCTCAAACACATGGGAACAGACACCCTTTTCATTGTGAAAATCATATGCCTTTAAGTAAATTTTACTTGGAGCAAATATAGCCAATTACTTTTTAATAACTGGCACCACACCCTTTATTATGGTTCAACAATAAACAATATGTCTTTTGTGGCTCTAAAGACTTTGTTATACTTAAGGGTATCTTAACAACAGCCAATTAGTTTTGTGCTGGCAGAGTTTTATTTATATGTCAAACTCAGTACAGAGCATGTAAGTGGGGACCTCCTTCCATCTCTTTGCTTATTATATGTACAATATATACATCTGATAGAGACAGTTTTAGAGTAAAGTAAAAAAAAAAAAAACTAATAAAACAAAATTCTTCTTAATAGCATTCTGCTACCACCTGATACCTGTCATTCAGAAGCTTACAGGAAGCAAATTAGACTGCTGTGGATAAGAAATGTAAAGAAAGAAGGCAGGATGATTGAGCGGGGTCAAAGCACTCTCCTGCATTAGCTGAGGTCTGAAGCTCCTCAAACCACAGGCTCAGCTCTGCAGCCTCTTATGCTGCTAAGGCAGTCTAATCAAAATCAAATCAACTCATTTTTTTTTACTCTCCGCCTATCTTTTGGTCCTCAGAGAATCAATTACTCCCAGAGTGTGGAGGAAACTTGGGGGTCCAGGGCTCCTAGAGCAGCAGCAGTCCAATGCTTTAAAGGACTTTTATTGGATATCAGAGTTGGAGGAGATTCCAAAGAAAATAGGTCTTACTCATTATTAGAGCCAGCTGTGGCTTTCCACACTGATGACTCATCCATTTTTCTTTCCCCCGGTTCTGTTACTTTTTTCATGGTGTGGTAAGGATGGTGGTGGTGTGGAGGGGTGTCAGGGCTTCTCCCTTGAAATATAAGGCCAAGTTGATATTGAGCCTAAATCCACTGGTTGTTTGGCATTAGGGAGTGTACTGGGGCCAAAACTGTATTGCTCACAGTTATTATCCATGCACTAACTGTGCCACGTGGCTATCTTTCACGTTGATTTTGTTTTAACATCATAATTTTCTTTCTGCTTTTTCATTCCAGTACCAATAATTAAAACTGAACCGACCGATGAGTATGATTCTATCGGGAGTGTTGGGCTGTCTATGCATTCAAAGCCCTACTATGGCCAGCCCAGGCTGACCTCCATCATGCCTGTTGCTGAACCTGACCCCTGCCTGGTTGGGGGATATCCTGCTTGCCCTCCTCACCATTCTGCAATGCCACCGCCATCTCCCAGCTCAAGTCCTACCCTGCATGATTTGTCCCCTGTTGCATTCAACAAATGCCTCCCTAACAGCCCAACTCATGCCACACCACCAGGCAATGTAGTAACCTCCATTCAGGAGACTCCTGGCTGCCCAAGCCTTCCACATTCTACGTCATCTGATCACAACTCTTCCCTAGGAATTCTCCAATCTCAAGGCAGCCCGGGTCCCCTTGCTTACCACCATTCCATCTATTCCAACAGTAGTTCTTCATCTTCCCCAGTTTCTGACCCTTCTACTCCTGGGGGGCCAGCAGAGACAGCATTCTTTCAAGTGTACAGCCCCAGCCAGGCAGAGGTATCAGGCAACTCAGCCCAGGCTGCAGGAAGTCCACCGAGCCTGCTACCTGAAGACACCAGTTCTCCACCAGTGGCCATCACCATCAAGCAAGAGCCACAGGAACTGGATCAGATGTATCTCGATGATGGTAAGTTACTACAAATTTACCCCTTCTGTATAGAAATGTCTGCATAGGCAGACATGGCAGCGATGGATTAAACACATGAGATATATCCATATTTCACCCATGACTCTATTGAGCCCCATCATCCTTCAACTACTTCCAGTCTCCTTGTTTGTCTTTTTACGAAGCAATAAGGTCCAGTTGCAGATTACATAACTGATGCAAAAAATGCTTCCATTGCTGTTTTGAATAATATAATAATTTCATATGATTTTAAAAACCCTCACCTTATCGAAATGTGAAAACTTTTTTTTGTGGAACATGATAAAAAAAACTGAAAATTAAAAACAATCCACTGGACTTTGTTTCCAAGTTTGAAGACGTTTCAATTCTCATCCAGGAAGCTTTTTTAAATTCAAAATGTCAGGAGCGTTGAGTTCGAGGTAGAACATGAGTTTTTCTCTAAATTGCAGTGTTTTCATTTAACAAATTTATATTCATAATAAAAATTTTTGCTATTTGTTAATTAATGGAAACACACCTAGTATCAGTTAAATAGGTTTACCCCATAGACATCTGATCATATACACATAGTCACAGTCAGTGCCGACCCAGACAGACAGAGAACATCCTTGGGGGACAATATTTCACTATGGTGCTGCTTGGCATCCCACAGAATTAGCTTGGTATCCCTCCTGGACCTGTAAACCTCTGATCCTATCTTCAATAGGTTATTCTTTTATAAAACACTATCTTAATAAACGTAATAATACTGCCAGAGATGGCTGCTTATCTGAAGGCCCTCACACATCACCACACCCTGCTGCATCTCATGGTGTTTCCTGATGAAACTCTGCTCCCCGATTTGCGTCACATTTGTATAATTTTAGCACTTACAGATTTATTTGCTTTTGGTGGAACGTTCGGCCTAGTTTATGTCGGTTCAAGCGGCTGCTTTGCTTCAAAACGCCAAACTGTCTTGATGAGATTTTGAAACAATCTGTCAAAACATCAGAACACCAAGGTCAGCTGGGGTGCAGCAGAACAAAAACAGTGGCACACGCATAACGAGCCAAACTGTTGACACGACGACTAATGAAGGAAGCAAAACAATAGGTAGGGGCTTCCTGAACTGAACCACCCCCCCTTACATTTCTGGGAGTGATGCAGAGAGGCAGAAGGCAGAGGCTTTGTTTTCCCGTCTTTTCCCCATGGAGTCTGCGGAATATGGCTGTCGTCATCAAGGGAGACTGTGGGGTCACTGCTCTCCCTTCGGCAATGAAACCAGTCACACCCCTGGGACCATATGGTTGGCTTTATTGCCACTGTGTCCATTTCACGTTACATCTCTCAGGTCAGCAACATGTTATCTGTGTTAACAGAGGCTGCGTGTGTTGTTATGATATATTCTAATATCATAACACTGACATCCTGACAGCCTGAAATAGTAAAATATCGTCTGTCTCCTTTTGGAGGTTGGCCAAAGACACCCCTTTAAACTCAGGAATACCACTCTTCCTGTACACCAGCTTTTATTAGGAGAGCTGATCTTACCTGAATGTGTTTGTGTATGTAGTTGTTTAGCAGGCATGTCCACTTTCTCCGTTCTACACTCAACTGCTCTGGGACCTGAGGGGTGATAGGCATGAGGGGACCAGGGGAGTTTAGCTGTAGGACTATAATTGAGATGAAATTCAGCTCTCAGCATTTCTGTCAGCACTGATGAGTCCCGTTAGTCCTCAGTTCATCAACAAACTATACAGAGCCTGCTCTATTGTCTCATGTTAAACTTCTTCAACCCCCTGTGCCTCATTTTAAATTCTAAGGACTATTCTTAGTTCTTAGTTATACTTAATTGTCAGTTATATCCTCTTTTTATTGAAATGCTATGGTCTAAATATGTTTAATTAAAGCAATATATGGGTTAAGTGGAATTACTGTGCTTAAATACAAATTTGAAAAACTGTATTTTACATAGCTGTTAAAGAGCCTATTAATCTTTACAGTTATTTTATTCAGCTCAAACACAAGCTGTGTAAAATCATGCCTTAGCATTGTAATTACAATTAAAGCTTGATTTATTCATTAGGCCTCAACAAAACACATAGATTATTCTAATCATTCAAAAGAACATAGGGTGGTGTCCTTTCACTTACTTCTTTTATTATTTAACTATCATCTGAATTTTTTTACTAGAGACCTGAATTTTTGGCTTCATCAGTTTTAACTAATTGCAGTCCTGAAGTAACAAGGTGACTGAAAATCACACTAGTACCACATGTGACTGTCAATATAATGTGTTTTGTTTTTGATTTTTTTTACGTAAGTGTTTAGTAATGTTTATCACTTTGGAACTTTATAATGCATGTGGTCATGAACCCTAATCTAAAGATAAGGAAAACATTAACTTCTCATCTTGTTTCGCCCATCCAATTCAAAGAAACACCTTCAGAGGAGAGGAACATTTGATAGCATTTCCAAGAATTACCATGGAAACCCGTACTTCAGTTATAAACACAGTAGGAAAAAGGTAAAATATGTAACATCAATAAAGGTTTCTGCTCTGAATTTGACACATTCAAGATAAAATTCTGACTTAAAATTTTCAATTAAGAAATTATTGTGCTTTATGAATATTCAAAAACTATGTAAAGGCAATATGATTTGAATTTAAACCTTAAGCCCTTTTATTTATTAATTTATTTTATTCATTATGCTCAAGTTGAGCGTGTGTATCTGACCATAACTGTGTCAGATTAGGAAAAAAATTAACTTCTACCAAATTAATCATGCAGTGCTAGTCCTTGTGAAGGTATGTCAAAATATATTTTGCCTCCCTACATTTTACTACATTGTCACGTAATCCTCCTCAAGCATGGTGGCCAAATACATTGTATTCAACTTGTGACTACAGTTGCATTAGAGATGCACCGGAATGCGCTTTGATCGAACAAGATCAGTGTGGCAGCTTCTTGAAAACCTCAATAAGCTGCCTTTTTGCATCACCTAATGTCTGAGCAAGCATCTGTGGTGAGCTGCTGGAGTCCCGGTAAGTGTGCGGTGGTAACAGCATACTGCAAGGCATCTGCTGCTTGCAGGCTTGGCCCTTTCCCAAACCCCTTAAATGAGCCCTAAGCTAAAATAAATAAGATCGGAAGGCAGCTTGCAGGGCGCCCCGCTCCCTGTTCACACGCATTAAGGCCCTATATTAGCGAGTCACTGCTCCATTAGAGAAGCAAGACAGGCGGATGACCTCATCACGGTAGCGGTGATTTAACGCCAGCCGTGTGGAATAGCTCTCCTCCTCAGCAATTGGGAGGCCAGTGATTTGAAGTCTGCGGGAGCAAACTTGATCTTCCCCAAGAGTAGCGCACCACCCACGCTTGAACACTGAGGCCTCCGGGTCTCATCAGCCAGAGGAAATGTGTCTCTCTGGCCAGGTCCAGATTTTACGCAGCCCCTGAGAAATCCCTCAAGTTATCAACAGTGAGCTACTGTACCGCAAGGAGCAGGGTTAGTGTGCAGGGAGGTGTAAAGCCCCCCAGACTGTCATACACTTTCTCTGTCATAAACTGTTAAAGTCTTCCCTGCTCTATGATAGAAGCAACACAAAGCAGGAGGTGGTTATTCTAGTGCAGCACAGTGATGGGGGAGCTAGAGGAAGATTCCTACTGGCAGAAAGCTTAAATACTTTCACTCAGTAGCATCTTGGCTCTCACTCACCCAACTGTTACTTCTCCTAGCTGGATATATATCCACATATCAGCATGGTTCAGTAGATGGAGGATGAAACATCTGCTGCTAGAAGACTGCCTGTAGTATTATTGACTAAAAGTCTTAAACAACTCTTGGTCAAGCTTTTATAAAACCAACTTTTAGACATGGCTTATTTACTCACAGCCCTCTGTCTATGCTTTACAAGGCGCTCAACATAAAATAGTGGCAGACAAATGACATCAGTGTATATGAGTATGCACCATTAACATTTGAGTTGACCCAATAAAATCTAAAAAAAGAGAATTTAAAACAACTGCACATTTTCTCACGTGTAAAAGGGCTTTCTTGTGACATCACCCAACATGACTCAACTCTGCAAACCTGTTCTTACACATATAGTTACACTTTTGCAGAGTGTATAATTTGCAAACTACTGTAGTTTAACTTTCTTTTAAAATAGAAAAGTGAATTAAGTTTTTCTTTTGAAAAAAATGCTTTTTGTTGGCAATAGGTGTTGGGCAGTAGACAAGTGTCTGTGGGGAAAACAAACAGAGGCTACCTATCCTAGCTAATTGGGGCTTGTGCTCTTTGTCCTGTCTCATTAGCTCTTTTGGTGATGTCATGAATTGCTGCTAAATGCAGCAGACAGCAAAGCAACTTGAGCTAATCAGCAACCTAGATTTTTACCAGCTGCCTCCCTTGAAAACAGAGGGCCCTTATTCCCCAAAATAAGAAAATCTCAAAGCACAATATAGCCTCTATCGACTTTTTGACATTTGGCATGTGTACTCCGAATGCCTTGTGTGGCGTCTTTTCCCTTGTGATTGTTTCCTGTTGGAGTTAGAGCCAGTGTATTTGAAATGCTGCAAAGATTGTTTCCCTAAACTGGAAGCAATATTGTCTATGCCTCTTTTCCTCTTTCCTTCCTCCCAATAACAACAACAAAGACATGATTCTAAGTTTCTTTCGAATCTTCACTTAGTTCTGACACATCTGAGGGCAACTCAAGGCATTCCTCATGGAAACTTTTACACATTCTGGCACATTGCCCGGACCCCAGGACTCCACAAAACCCCTAATGATGATTGAAAGCGCATCCACACCACGATGAAGAAAAACATGCTGAGTCGCTAACATTGGAGAGTGCCGCAAGGCAGGGTTGGAGGGGGTCGGAAGAAGGAGAGGATTTTTGGGCTAAAGGGTGTTCATTAGGGACGAGCATAGAGTGTCTAATGGGGATTTCAAAAGCAGAGCTTCCCCTGGATGCATACGTTCTCTTTCTAAGATAGTACAGCCAGCCATATGAA